CCTCTTCTTCTTCCGTCCTACTTCTCCCCCTCTCCCCACGCTGATATCTGATCTAAAAAGTGAAAAGGGAGCTTAAAGGGTGTGGGAAGGATAAAACTGTCTCCATAGATCTGCCAATCTTGGTACCAGAAAGCAGCAGATATGACAGAAAAATGGAGAAAGCAGACTAGTGTTTCCTTAGAGACAATGGCCAAGAGGCAAACCCACCATAAAAAGCATAGCCTCGGATGTCTATGTCAAAAGGACAAAAATGTGTGATGAGTAGTTTTAATTTCATAGGTATCCTGCCAGAAGCAGCATGATGTATAATAGTCAATAAAGATTTATTAAATACCTACTATGTACCAGGTGTTGTGCCAAGTACTGGGGATACAAATAAGAAAAAAAAGACAGTTCCTTCCCTCAGGAATCTTCCAATCTAATAGGGGAAGATAATATACAAAAGGAAGCTGAGAAGAGGGGTAGGAGGTGGGGGCCACCAAGAGGACCTAGCATGATGTTAAAACCAAAAACAGCTGATGGAAAAGGAAGAGTTAACTGGAAAGTCCTCAACCCTCTAGAAAGGAAGACTTTGGGAGGAATTTGTTGCTCCCCCACTCCAGCCCTCCGATCAGAGGGGAGAGGCAGCTGAACTGAGGGCTGAGAAGGCATGGAGTCTGGAGCCTTAGGGATAGGAAGACCACATCTGACACATGCTGGCTGTGGGACCCTGGGAAAATTATTTAACTCAGTGCCCTTGGCAACTCACAAAGATGACAAATTTCAGATGTTGGGAATCTCCTACACTGATGAACTTCCGAGTCTGGACTATGGAAATAAAAAGTGGGGAATGGTATCAGGTAGCTGCAGTGGGATAAAATTAAATGAATGGACTGGGCTAGGGCTCTGGAGGGGTATGTTTGATTCCAAATAAAATCCAACATTTAATAAGCACCTACTATGTGCAAGGCAAGGTGCTAAAGATACAGAAGGAAGAAATAGTCCTTGCCCACAAAAAGCTTATGTTCCACTAGTAGGGGACATATACACAGGTAAGGAAATAGAAACTTTATGCAAAGAAATAGCCTGGAGAAGAGGGTAGAGAACTGGCTTGAGAGTAAGAAAGACATAGATTAAAGTCCTATTTCTGACATACCAGCTGTGTGTGACTTAAATTCTCAGTGCTCCAGACAACTGCTATCTTTTGACTTATCAGTCTATAGCAATGGAAGAGAATATGCACAAAGAGAGTTCCCTACCCTGAAGAAACCAGACATTCAGGCCAAGAACTAATGACTGGAACTGGATGGGTTAGGGTACAGTTAGACAAACTGTAGAACTAGCAACACAAGCCATTGAAAAGGACCAAACCAACAGCAGTGAGTGGTGATATTGACTGAAAATTACTAGAGGCATAACTTGATGAAAAATAATCTTCCACAGACACTCTATAAAACCATGGAGGATCAGATTCCAGGGCAAACCTTTGATGGAGCCTTACCCAGGGCTATATAGTAAGTTATTGGGGCTCTGTAGGTCTTCAGGGGAGGGTTGCTCATTGTTGGATATTATTGTTTTCTATGGGCTTTGAGATGTGTTTTCCCATTGATTGACCCGTAAATAAACTTATCTATCCTTTGAGCCTTCAAAATAAAGTATAAAATTGGGAAAGTGGGGAACTCCTTGAGACTTCATCCAGGGTCACAACCTCAGAGTCGTCCTTCACTCTTCCTTCTTCCTTGATCTCCATATTCATTCAGTTATCATGTCTTGTCAGTTCAATGCCCACAACATTTCTCATATTCATGCTCTTTTCTCTGATGGCAAAGCTATGTATCACACTGGAGAAAGAGCCAAGATGTCAGGGTGAGAGTAAGAAAGAAATCTGGGTTCCACAACATCATAACTCCCCATTCCCTAGACAAAAGAGAAATGTCTTAAAAAATGCAAAAGAAACAAAACCCACCAAAATAAAAGACAAACAAGGCAAAGAAGAATATCAATAAAATGAAAAAGCATCAAAGTGAATCAGTTATCAGTATGGAAAATGAAGACCACAGAAGCTATCTAGAGAGATGTCTTCAAATGGATAGATGATAGAAATTAAGTAAAAATTGACAATGCTAAGAAATACCAAAAATCAAGTAAGAGCTGAAAAAAATTTAAAATTGCCAAAGTAAATTAAGTAAAAATTAAGAAATGCAAAAAATAATCAGGATAGACTACAAAAATGCACACATTCAGTTCGTGGCATATTTGTCACAATTGAAACTAGAATTGCACATGTAGCCACAAAGGAATTTTCCTTTACTCCTCTTTTTGAAGGATCCCAGGTCCCAGGTCCCAGGTCCCAGAGATTAGGAAGGGTACCTAGGGAGCAGATTCTTAGACCCTTTCTCTGTAAAGTGGTGGTTCTTCTAATTTCTTCTGCAGCAGACAACTATGGAAAGACAGTAACTTTGATTTAGGTCTGATGTCTTTCTGGGCAGGGTCAAGATACTAGTGATATGTGACAAGAGGGAGAAACAGCAACTCAGGAGCAGGTGGGACCAACTGGAAATAAAAAGAGAAGATCCATCATCACAAACAGTTGTTGCCCAGAGCCTGAGAGAGTCACCTAGAAGCTTAACTCTCCCACCTCCCTTTGAGAGACAATGTGAAAATACTCCCCTTTACCCCGAGGAGGAAATTTCCCTAGCATAAAGAAGCAGAAGGGGGATAGGTATAGGAAAGAAAGAATGAATGAATGAAAGAAAGAAAGAAAAGAAAAGAAAAAAAGGAAGGAAGGATGAAAAGGAAGAAAGAAAGAAAAAGAAAGAAAGAGAGAGAGAGAAAGAAAGAAAGAAAGAAAGAAAGAAAGAAAGAAAGAAAGAAAGAAAGAAAGAAAGAAGGAATGGGTAGGGAGGGAGGGTAGGAAGGAAGGGAAGGGAAGAAAGAGAAAGAAAAAAGAAAGAAGGAAGGAAGGAAGGAGGGATTTATTAAGTGCTTTCTATGTCCCAGGCACTGTGATAAGTGTTGGAGATACAATTACAGGCAAGCAAGATGATTCCTGCTGTCGAGGAGTTTACATTCTCCTACAGGAAGATAGCATGTAATTCCACTAGAGTTGGAAAGCGGAGCCAGGGGCCCCTGGGGAAGAGTCTGAGTTCCAGAGGGTAGAAAAGGAGGTTCAGAATGCATACAAGGTTTGTGCTTCACTGGGAATGATGTCTAATCTTGCCTATTGTTGAAGATAAGGTGGCAGCTCACCTATTGATCCCAGCCCCCTGGGAGTTGGGAGCCTGAGTTCCAGTGGGAGGAGGCGATGTGCTCCAGAAGGCTGGCAGAAGAGTTTAGAGTTGACTGGATGGAATATGATAGGACTGTCCATCTCAATGGGGAGTAGGATAGTTTGTCTGTTTCATGTTTACCTTTTTAACTCTGTCCCAAAGCCCATTAGTGTGGGATTCTCTCCTTATTGGTGGAGATCAATGCCCTGAGCCTTCGTGAGGGGCAGATGGGTAGAGAGAAGTCTTTAGTTTTGGGGGACCCTCTTCATGTTTGGGAATATCTTTAAAACTCCTTGAGTTTTATGATCATTTGTGGTGCTTTTGGCTTTTAGCTTCGAGAGAAAAGAGTCCTTCAGACTGCTGAAGGAAAAGACCCTGGAAGATTTTGGAAGAAGTCAGCACAAGAGGAATTGGGCAGTCTCCATCATGTCCATATCCTCAGCTTGCTACATTAGAGACTTCAGGGAGCTTCCCCTTGGGTGAGATCTAGGACTCTCTCTTGGTTGAGCTGAGTTACCTCGCTCCCAATAGGAGAGCTCCTTCACTCTCTATTGCCTGACATATATTCTCCTACTTATATTTTCTCTGATTTCTGTTTTGCTACTGATCTGGATAAATAGATTTCTTAGTTAATTGCTATATGTGTGTTCATTGTGGAACTGGTATTTGGTGAGAAGGGAGTCAAGCCTTTGGATATAAACCTTGGGATTTTCCTTCCCCCAATAAAAAAATAGTGATCAGAAGTTAATTTGAACCTGAAATTTTCATTAATACTGAAGGGAGCAGAGGGATTTAATTCTAGCCCAATAACTCCTATACCTGAGGAGAGCAGAGTAGTCATGCTTCTGATAGCCCTAACCTCTTGCTTCCTTTCTTGGCAGCAATTAAATCCTCCCTTGGAGAAGAGTAGGGGGAAGATGAAGCTAGATATGTCTATCCTATCTCCTCCCTTCAAATATGTACAAACAAAGTATTTACACATCACAACACCCCCATGCTACATATGGGAGGGGAAGCCCTTGAAACATCTTAATTTCATATATATTAAATCTTGAGTGATCCACATGTGTCCAAAACACTGGATACAGAGAGATGAGAAATTGAGAGAGCAAACTATTCCAGGAATTGAAAACAGGGACAAGAAGATTTGTAGCAATCTCTATTATTCTCAGTATTTGTAATCCTAGGCTATAGACTCAGAAAGCCATAGTACAGACAAGGAAAAAGCGCAAGGACAAAAGAGATTGGATGTCACTATGAAGAATAGCTCTGTCTTTGGGTATCGTCGTCTGAAAGCCACAGAGCATATTGCAATGTATTGAAGGGTTTGGAGTCCCTTAGCCAAGAAAGGGACACTACAGATAGAGCAGAGTGCCACCTGGTGGCTGAGTCATATACTGCATTCTGAGTTACTTCAAATGCCTTGAGTGAATTTTAACACAGCTATCTCCTTGTGTATTTAAAGAATGCAAACACAAATGTATCACACACACACACACACACACACACACACACACACACAGAGTATAGAGCACCTGGGACTCAAAGGACTCAAAAAATCACTGATTTATACCAACTATTTTCCCTCAATTGACAAATCTAATGACCTCTTCTCAATCCTTATCCTTTTGTGTATATGTATATATATATATGTATGTATTCAATTATTGTTTTCTGCTATATTTTGAGTTCCAAGTTGTCTCTCTTTGTCCCTTCCAAACCCACACTAGAGAAGGCCAATATCTGACACAGAAATATATATGGAATCATCCAATAAATACTTCCAAATACCAGTTCTTTCTCTGGCGGTGGATAGCATTTTCCTTCATAAGTCCTTTGCAGTTGATTTGAATATTCATATTACTCAGAGTAGCTTAGTCATTCACAGTTACTCTTCAAACAATATTGCTATTACTGTATACAATGTTCTCTTAGTTCTGCTCATTTCTCTCTTTATGATTTCTTTCCAAGTCTTTCCATGTTTTTCTAAAATCAAGCTGCTCATCATTTCTTACAGCACAGTAGTATTCCATCACAATCACATACTACAACATATTCAGCCATTCTCCAACTGATGGGCATCCCCTCAATTTCTATTTCTCTGCTACAACAAAGAGGGCTGCTATAAATATTTTAGAACATATAGGTTCTTTTCCTTTTTCCCTGATCACCTTGGGGAATAGACAATAGTGGTATTGCCAGATCAAAGGGTATACACAGTTTTATGGAGCAGCTAGGTAGCACAGTGGATAGCACACTGGCCCTGGAGTCAGAAGGATGTGAGTTCAAATTTGACCTCAGACACTTGACACTTACTAGCTGTGTGACTCTGGACAAGTCACTTAACTCTGCTTGCTGAAAAAAGGAGAAGGGGAGGAAATACATATAGTTTTATAAGTCTTTGAGCATAATTCCAAATTGCTTTCCAAAATAGTTGGATCAGTTCACAGTTCCACCAACAGTATATTAGTGTCCCGATTTTTCCATATCCCCTCCAACATTTGTCATTTCCTCTTTTGTTATTTTAGCCAATCTGATAGGTGTGAGATGATACCCCAGAGTTTTTTTTTAATTTGCATTTCTCTAATCAATAATGATTTAGAGCATTTTTTCCACATGACTAGATATAGCTTCGATTTCTTCTAAAAACTGCCTGTTCGTATCCTTTGACCATTTATCAACTGGAGAATAACTCATATTCTTACAAATTTGGCTCAGTTCTCTATATATTTGAGATATGAGGCTTTTATCTAAGACAACTGTCTATAAAATTTTCCCCTCTGTTTTCTGCTTTCCTTCCAATCTTGACTATATTGGCTTTATTTGTGCAAACCCTTTTAAATTTAATGTAATCAAAATTATCCATTTTACCTCCCACAATGCTCTTTACCCCTTGTTTATTCATATATTCTTCTCAGTCCTCATCCTTCTTGAACTCTTTGGGTTAAGCACTATTAAGCTGACACTGTTAAGCATCCTTTTCCCCTGCATAGTCTTTCCTCTCCAGGTCTTTATGACACTGCTCTTTCTCTGTTGTCTTCTTACCTGTTTAACCACTGCTCATTCTCCTTGGCTGGATTTTCATCTAGGTCATGCACACTCACTGAGTGTCCCCAAGGCTCTGTCCTGGGCCCTTTTGTCTTCTGTCTCTATATTATCTCACTTGGTGATCTCATAAGCTTCCATAGGTTCAATTATCATCTCTTTTCAGATCTACTTATCCAGCCCTAATCTCTCTCTTGACCTCCAGTCTCTTATCATTGTCCACTGGACATCCTGTTGACGTCCCATAGATGTCTTGATATCTAAAATAGAATCTGTTATCTTTCCCTCTAAACCGTCTCATCTTCCAAACTTCCCTACCAATGTTAAGGGCACCACTAGCCTCCCATCACCCAGGTTTGGTGTTCATCCTCAGTTCCTCACTTTCACTCACTCCACATGGCCAATCTTTCACCATCTTGTTGTTTCTATTTGTATAGATTTTATATATCTATCTCCCCTTTTCTCCACTCACATTGCCACCACTGGGATACAAACTTTTATCACCTCACAAGTGATGGCCTGCTGGTTGGTTTCCCTGTCTCAAGTCTCTTTCCACTCAGCTGCCAAAGTGATCTTCCTAAAGCATAGGTCTAAACATGGCACCTTCCCACTCAGTAAACTCCAGTGGTGCCCTATTACCTCCTTTTGGCTTTTAAACCCCTTAGCCACCTGGACACTTCCTACTTCTCTAATCTTCTCCTCTTTATCCTCCTCCACCAGCTTTGCAATCCAGTGGCACTGACGTTTTCATTGTTCTTTGAACTTGGCGCTCCATCCCCAGACTTTGTACCTTTTCACTGGCTGTCCTCCGTGCCAGGAATGTTCTTCCTCCTTACCCCTGCTTCCTGACTTCCTTCAAGAGTCAGCACAAATCTCTCCTTTTGTAAGAGGCCTTTCCTGGTTGCCCCAACCTCCTTATCTCTGAGATTACCTCCCATTTATACTGTATATTTCTTGTACATACATGGGTGTTTGCATGTTGTCCTCCTCCTTAAAATGGGGGCTCCTTGAGGGCAAGGATCATGTTTTTTCCTTTCTTTGTAACCCAAGGTTTAACACAATGCTTGATATATAATACGTGCTTAATAAATGTTCATTGACTTGCCTATTGGAAAATATGGAGACTGAAATGACAGACCTAGAGGACTGATCATGGTACGGTATTCTCAGAATTACTGACATTCCAGAGAATTTAGAGAGGAAAAAAAGGAAACTAGGTAGGAAATTACTAAATAGAATTTCCCATAATTTGCAAAAACAATTGGTGAAACAAAAAAGCCATAGGATCCAACAAGAAAGAAGACAAGATTTAAAACTCCTAAACATGTCATACAATGAGAAGGAAAAAAAATACTTCAAAACTACCAGGAGTGAAAAAAATCCTTACCAGGGAGGAAAAGGGGAAGAGGGGGCTGCAGAAATTAGAAAGAACAAGGTCAGCTAGGTGGTACAGTGGATAGAGCACCGGCCCTGGATTCAGCAAGACCTGAGTTCAAATATGGCCTCAGACACATAACATGTACTAGTTGTGTGACCCTGGGCAAGTCATTTAATCCCATTGCCTAACCAAAATAAATAAATAAATTAGAAAGAACAAAACAGAATATATTATAGTTCATGAACTCAGAATTATCTTCTCAGAAAACTTAGTATGCTCTATGAAAACAGAGATGGAGATTTCAGAATGAAATAGACAACAAGTTTACAGAGAGACATAACTACTTTAATGAAGCCTTCAAACAATAACCGAGCTTCCCAACCAAAATTATAAAAACACCCAAGACAAAACAATTACTTGTAAAATGTGAGAATCCTTAGAACAGTGTATTAGTTAAACCACTAAAACTTTCAGAAAAGTGTTTCAAAAAATAACATAAAAGGAAATGAAGGGAAAAAAGCACAAAAGGGAGGAGTGGAGGGTTGTGGATTAGCCTTCTTGCTTTTTCTAATATATGACATTCCGTCTCCTCTTGCTGTGCTTTCCCTCCTCACATCTATTTGAAATAATCCCTGACATCCTTTGAAGCACAGGTGATGTGTTCCCTCTTAAAGAAACCTTTCCTGATCTCCTCAATTGTTAGCACTCCTCTCCCCACCCATTATTTTTGCATTTACTTCTTATATCAGTCAATGAATTAATCAACTAGCATTTATTGAGGGAAGGGAACGGAAGGGAAGAAGCACTGATGTTTTTGTTGGTGTTGTTGTTTCAGTCATATCTGATACTTCATGACCCCATTTTGGGGTTTTCTTGGCAGAGATACTGGCGTGGTTTGCCATTTCCTTCTCTAGCTCATTTTACAGATGAGGACCTGAGGCAATCAGGGTTAAGTAACTTGCCCAGGGTCACACAGATAGAGAGTGTCTGAGGCTAGATTTAAACTCACGAAGATGAGTGTTGCTGACTTCAGGCACTCTATCGACTCTATCTACTAGACCACCTAGCTGCCCCCAAGCATTTATATAGGGCCAACCATTTCCCAGGCACTATACTAAGCACTCGTAAATATTATCTCATTTCATCCTCACAACAACCTTTTGACGTCGGTGCAATTATCCCCATTTTGCAGTTGAGTAAACAGGTAAAC